CATACAACTAAGCTGGCACAGATTGAAGACAGAATATTAGTTAGTCCTGGTCAAGAATGAAAGAGTTTAAGTGAAAAACTTTCAAACTTTGTCTGTCATTTTGAAATCTACTTTTCAGAATCCTGGTGTGTTTAGACCAGCTGCAGTAATGAGAGTTAATTATTTGTTACAGTCCTCTCAGCATCTGCAGCAGAGCCTCTCTTTCCATTGCCTTATGGTCCTTCTATGCCAGAGGTGCAGAACTGTGTCCCAGTTACTTCCAAAACTCTGCACCCTTTTTTCCTCCTCCCCACAGCATTTTATTGAGCAGAGCCTCTCTTTCCATTGCCTTACGTCCTTCTATGCCAGAGGTGCAGAACTATGTCCCAGTTACTTCCAAAACTCTGCGCCCTTTTTTCCTCCTCCCCACAGCATTTTATTTATTCCTACATCTATCCTCCTTCTCCAGTCTGAGTCACCACTGGGCACTCTACCTCTGTCTGACTGTCAGTGTTTGCCATCAAGCCTCCACACTTCAGTGCTTTCGATTCAAGCTTGGAGTTACTTGAGGCTCTCAACAAAATTGAAACAGAAAGTGTTGTCATGTAGGCGAAACAGTTTATTTCCCTGTTCTGAGAAATGAACTATTTTAATTGCACCTTTCTCTCTTGCTGGACTCATGGCCCTTCCCAAACATCTGACACTAATGATTAACGATAATTAAAGGGTACTTAATATGAAAAGTCAGAGAGTCATAGCCATGCGGTATTGTCAGCTAGTTCTGTATGTTTGTGTGCAGAGCTGGGATTGACCCCACTGAACACTAAGGATTTAGAAGCTAAGTATCCAAATTGCCTCAGTGGGCCTTGGGGAGGGACAGTCAATGATTCACCCCACCCAGAGCTAGCTGTCCATGATGGGGCAGGCAGATCATCCCCTGAAGGCCCTGGTCTTTCTCTAGCTGATAGACAAGCGTGACCAGTCTCCCATGTTAGACACATGAAGTTCAGTGGGGTGAATATCATTCTTTGTGTGCATACCCACACGCCTGCATGCGCACTGTGTATCTCTACATGTACATGTCCGTGTGTCTGTGTTTTATAAATGCATCTGCGTAAGTGCAACACACAGCACTCGGTGCATCCTTACAAGTACCTGCATGGTTTTATACCCATGTGTATGTATTTCATGAAGCCTTCTAGCTGCAATGCAGTCCCATGGAGCTGTTTGCAGTTCACATAACCTTAAGTGATGAACCCCTGCCTGTGCCTGGCGCTCTGTTTGCCCCGAATGCCGTGTGCGGGGTGCAGCAGCCTGCCTGCAGGTCAGCTGGTGCTGTGGGAAGAGCCGGCCATCCCCAGCGCCGAGGGCTGCTTGCTCACACCCTGCCTGATGTTACAGCTTTTCTAATAGCCTTTCGAGTCATCCCCTCCACCAGACTGTCTGAAACCTGTAATATAGAGAGACAGACATCGTTACAGGCTGAAATAACACATAAAAGCATGTCTCCTGAGAGGCATGTGAGGTCTGAGCAGCGCGTGTCCGCCTTTGCATGGCAAGCGAGGAAACATGCTGTTACTGATAATACGCAGTGATTGTGCAAGTGAATTCTGCTCGCTGGCACTTTTTATCTCTCACCTTTCCTGTGCAAATTCCTTGCTGTTTCTGGATGCTTACTATTTGTAGCTGTGTGCATTTACCTCTGGTTTCCATATCCCAGGAAGAATGTCACTTTCCTGTCCTTTCCATTCTTTCACCATCTGTTTTCCTCTTTTTCTTTACCCTTTTTTCCTTGACCCTTCAGTGTGTTGCAGCTCGGCCCTGGAACCGTCTTGCTGGAAATGCCAGAATCTTGCATTTTCCCTTTGCAGAGTGACAGTCGTGTCCCTCATCTCCTCAATGCCCTTTTTGTTCACTCGCTGGAATCGCATTGGACTTGGCTTGCTCCCGAGTGGACGTTGTGTGTTTGCTGAAGAGACATTTGTTTCTCAAAAAAGCGTTGCTGCTCCCTGCCACTGTCCAAAATTGATAGACTGACTCTGCCTGGTTTTACACCCTTGTCTGCACTTTCTTACACTTTCTTAGCATTTATTACCCCTTCTTAAGTTTTTGTTCCTTAACAAAAACAGGTAAAAATTGGCTGCAGACTTGCACCTGAGCTCCCCAGAAAACATGCAATGGCAAGTTACCATTGCACAGGGCTGAAAATTGCAGCACTTTGGGAGGTGATTCAGAAGCAGGAGAGCCAGCCCTGCCTCAGGGCTGCCATGTCCATGGGGTGGGAAGGTGGATGACTGGGTGTGGAAGCAGCTTTGGCTGATTTTTATCCACTGCCTGGAAAAGCCTGGAGTCACGGAGGTGCTTTTCAATTCTCTCCATTGAGCCCAGCAGGACTACAGTGCTCCTGGAGATTTCCAGGCAGGGGACCACTGATTTAGCGGGGTCAGTTTTCCTAAAGCTTCCCTTGATTTAGAAACACGAATCTCCTTGGCACCTGGGTAGGATTTGTGCTCCTCCATCATTGGAAACCAACGCTGTGCTGCAGCTCGGTATTGACATCTGTAGCCTGGTTTATGGGAAGGGTGAAGACCTGCGACCCGTAGGGAAGTGATGACTCTGTGAGAAGGTGTCTGATGTCCAGGACCCCCTGTGATAGGTATAACTTGGGTATTTGTGTTTCTCCAGTAATGATACGTATCATTTGCAGTGCTTGCTCTTGCCCCATTGACCGCACAAGTTCAAGCCCTTAGAGATTTCAAAACACACTGTAGATATTAAATATCTGAGCCTCATAACCTTTCTGCAGATTAGGTAAGTGTTATTGCTCAGCATTGTAAATGGGTAACTGAAGATATATCCCTGCTGAATTTGATGGAAAGAGGTCAAGTAACCTGCTCGAACGTTAGTAATAGAGCCATCACTAAATCTCAGCCATGTCCACTGCTGGTTAGACAGCACTGCTCCTCTGCATAAGTCTGTCTCCTGCTTGAGAGGCAGCTGGATAATATGTGCTTTAATGTTGTCTGTGGCCTTGTTAGCCTCTGCTGGCGAGGCATTTCTCTTTCAACCTGCCATAATTTTTACTATTCCTGGGCAGTTCCTGACTTCCCAGTGTTAGTCCTGATTTGCCAGCTGGCTGCATACATTTATACGGGCTAAGAATAAGGGCAGAGAGCTCACACCTTTGTTACCCTTTTAGGCAGGACAATGAGACTGAGTGGATAGTGTTGAGGACCAGGGCATCCTTCATTCAAATTAAAGCACTTGAGTTTTCCACCTGTTAATTTCAAACTGTGCAGGAACCCGCAGTGCTTTGTGCACATGCCCCAGCACTTGGACCCGCCAGGCTGTTGCCCAGCTTCGGCATTCGATGCTGCTTCCTTATTGCAAGGTGTTTTTTTCTGCTCTCTACTGCAGCAGCACATGATCGAAGGCCAGTACCTCATCCTTCACAGGCCTGCTGATATCAAATGGATTTTCCCTGTGTTTTTGTAACATCCCTCAGCCAGAGAATGAGCGCTGTAGGTCTGGAAACACTTGGCTTTGAATTTCAGGCCACCTCAGAAACAGGACCTCATCACCTAATGCTGGCAACCTGCAGTTTCAGAGTAGGGTTTTTTTCATTTTGCTGGTGTTTTCTTTCATGTTCCCAAGCAGGATTGGTCTTGGAAACAAATCTATTGACTTCTAAAGCCTGGTTAAAAACAATCGTGAGGGTAACCAACTGACCTGTCCTACCTTCATGCTTGGCTGGGCCTTCTGATGTGTCTGACCAAGACCAGTCAGATGTCTCATGGATTAGTATAACCAGTTCACCCTAATGCACCTTCATTTACCTCTAGTGCAGTTTTTCATCCATCTTTCAAGATTGTTTGTCCTACTTTCAACTGGTAGAAGAACCAGTCAATCTAATTTTGTCAAACAGGTTTACAGCACCTCTAAGAAGCTTGGTCTATATTTAACCAGTAGCCTATTTTCATTGTAACTTAGCACAGGAGGGGGTGAACTCCAGCCTCTTTCCTCTCTTGCTGGTCATTTCTGGAGGCAGTCTCAGAGTCATGTCACTTGGAGCTGCTGTCCCATCTGAGCATGGCTCTGTGGACTAGATGATCTTTTGAGGTCCCTTCCAATCCCTAATATTCTGTGATTCTGTGATTTTAGCTCCATCAAGCATAGAGTCTGAAAAGCAAATTCATAACATGTTTCTCCCTTGCATGTTTGCCTCGTTGGTTTGAAGTCTTGATTTCCAACATAACATGGTTGCTCCCAAATTGTACTTTAACTATTGCTGAATGTGGGAAGCACTGTGTACCTGTGAGAGAGTGCAGAGGTGCCTTGCAGAGAGAGTGCATGGATGTTGTTAGTCAGGATGTGCCGCAGTGAATCCTTCTTCATGCAGAAATAGCCTCTCTGCCCTTTTTTTTTTTCCCCCCCAGACAATTAGTCAAACTTCCTTTCCTGTTAATTTAGGACCAAACTTTTGTTTAGTTCTGATTGCTGGGTTGGTTTTTTTTTTTTCAGCAAACTCTGCTTTTTCTGTTGACAGTGCTTAACAGAAAGCTTTATGGAGCACATTTGTTGTAGTAGTGGGTGTTGGGTCTATAGATTTTCACTGCTTGCATTTGTTTGCATCGACATAGAGCCTGTAAACTCTAACCACATTGTTTGAGGTGCTGTGCAAACACATGTCATGGAGACTGTCCCAGCCACAAAGCACTTATCTACTCAGTATTATGGTTTTGCACACGTGGACCAAATTCTGCTCTTGTGCACAGGGCAAAAAAAATTACATTGGCCAACTCTAGGTACCATCACTTGTCTAAATTCACTTGATCCTACTTGACATTTGCAGTCAAGTCCTTTCTTCTCAGGTAAGTAGCTGGGCATCATGTTTTCCTTTTGTATTCCCTTCTCCCTGCTAGGGCTGTTTTGCCTTGTCTTGTTTGGTAGTTTAGATGTTTGAGGCCATGTTTTGAACTTGACTTTTTTAAGTGCTTCTCTCTTCCTGTTTTCTTTTACAGGCACTAGTTCGGCTTCCTCCTCACATTTCACAGTGTGATGAAGTCTTCAGGTTCTTCGAGGCTCGCCCAGAAGACCTTAACCCTCCAAAAGAGTAAGTGCTGTGATGGATTTCCAGTCCTGCTTCATTCTCTTTTATTAGCTGTAAGAAAAAGGTCATTTTGTTTTTCCCTGTAGGCATGGGAACAGATTTTGTAGCTTTCAAGCACTACTTAGAAAATGCCCAACAATTATGTACAACCACAGAGGGTGTGTGGAGGACAGGGGAATCAAGCAACCTGCAGACACATTTTCAATCATCCTCCCCGCCCACCTTTGTATTATTTCTTGATGATGGTTCTAATGACGGAACCTCCCCTGGCTTGGTGGTTTTACTTGATAATTATCACTGAAGAGTCATTAGTTCCCAAAGCATTGGCTCAGCATCAGGGGGAAATCCTGCCAGTAAGCTCTTGGCTCATAATTACCAGCTGCTTCTTTAAATTTACTCCTGCCCAGAGATACTTAGTTATCTGAAGGGAGCAAGATTGTGGTCGAGATCCAAAATTGTCTCTGGAGAGTCTATTCTTTCTAAGGAGGAAGCCAAGAAAAGGCTGGGAAAAGAGTTCAAAACAGAATCATAGCCTTTACCTTGGAGCAGACAGGCTGATTCATGCTGATGCAGTTGGGGTTCAGAGGACTAATTTATCCAGGGAAAGCATTGGCAGGAGGGTATTTACAAGCAACTGTGCTGCCTTGCCTGATACTTCCTTTTCTCCTTCATACTGAACAGGATATATTTTATTGTGCTCCACAATAAGATTTTGACTTGGTCCCATTGTGTTTTGTGCTGTTTTGTTGCACAATATGAAATTTGATTGCAGGCTGTGTTACCGTAATTTGCTTTCTCCAGTGTTTGCACAGCCCATTGGGTAAGGGGAAATGGATGTAAAGCTTTTGGATTTGGGGTACTTCAGTGCACACAAATCTAGTTAGCAGAAAGATTTGTATTGGCTTCAGCTGTCCCCATGCTGGTGTAGAGGAGAGGACCTTTGCAGTTTGATTTTCCCAAGCTTTCTGTCTTGCGCATACATGGTTTTATATCAGGGGATATATTAGCATATGTACTAAAGAAAATACTACTGGGGTAGTTGAGAGCAAAGGGTTTTTTGTTTTTTGAATGAGAAAAAGAGCAGGTTTTAAATCAAAGGTCTAGAAAAAGAGCTGCTTTTTTTTTTTTTTTTTTTTTTTTTTTCTCCCCTGACCAGCCTTGTTTTAGAAAAACATCTGGGGTGAGTAAATACAGTTGCATCTTCGCTGTTAAACACATATTGCAAATTTAGAAAACGTTGCAGGACGATATGCCCACACTCTGAGACCTGCTGATCATCACAGTTTCCATTTAGGGTCTGTCAGAAGGTTTGCAAAAGTTGCTTGATCCTAGGTGTCTTGATGCAAGGAGTCATCCCCATGTACCAGGGAAAAACAAACACCCAGAAGAGGAGTGAGGTCCCCAGCCTTAGAGAGTTCACCTGGAGGATCTCAAATGGACCTGCTTTAAATGCTCTTTAACAGTCCTACTTGCTTTCTGTACCCTACAGCAGAAATAGAGTCAGGACTGGACCTCTGCAAGGCAGGGAATGGGAACCAAGGCCCACCCCTGGGCTGGCACTAGCCATTATGGCTTTCTTTCTGTTTTCCCTCCTACAAGTTGTTGAGGGCCTTTTGCTGAGTTCCCTGTTTGACAGCCTTGCAGCCATTTTCTAGTTATCCATTCACTTTCCCCCGGAAAAAGACTAAATTTTCTCAGCCCAGGACTTGCATCTTATTCCAACCTAGTAATAAGTGTGATTTATTTCCCTGGAAAATGTAGAGCAATAACCTGATTAAATCTCACTTCACTAATGTCTGCAAGACATTAATCTAGCTGGGTTTAAACAAATCCTACCTCGTCTTCTGTAAGCAAACAGATCTTAGGGAAGGTGTCTAAGGTTTCTGCTGGGAGCTCTTCACAAAAGATGTATTGTTGAAACTGAAGATTAGTCTCTACAAAAAGATGATGTGAAAGCCAATGGAAACATCTTAGTGTTTTTCTTCTGTGAACTGAGGGGGAAGGGATATCTGGGGCGCACTGGACCACTGTGTAGGGTCCGGGGGAAGGACACCTCCAGGGCGATTCTCAGCCTCAGAAGTCACTGCAAGAAGGAGCACAATCAGCCAGAGAAATCCCCAATCTATTCCTTCATTTTGCTATTCTACCAAGCCCCTCCAGAAACAGTGAACCAGTGGTGCCCAAGCCCTATGAATTCAGTCTTCCCTGGACCTCATGGTCCATCATTCATCTCACTGGGGGGGGGTAGGGATGTAGCTTGGGGGCAGTATCTAGACTACCCTAATTATTTTGTCTATTTCTTCAGCTGCTTCTTTTAGCCCTCAGTGCAGGGGTGGTTTGTATATTGATATATTAACATAGACGTGGCATTCAACTGGCTGGGTTAAAGGAAAACAAATATAGCCAAGCAAGGGACTTAGATACCAAGAGATGGCAGAATGGAGTTGCTTGTGCCACCTTCATGTCTTCTCTCTGTGCACAATGAGATGGTCTTTAGTTTTTTGATCGCCTGCTCTGTTTTTCTGCAGCAGCTCAGCCTTATCAGACAAAGCCTGACCTAGAGTTTAATTAACTAATTTTCAGGAGTGTAGCCTTAATCCCATAGGTGTTTGGGTTGTTGTCCGTTGAATTATTGCATGTGCGCAGAGCGGTGACTGAGCACGTGCTCCCAGCCAGAAGAACATGGAAGCTTGAACTTCAGGGGAGGCCACGAAAAAGTGTGGTTTACCTGGCAGCTGGAATGTGCAGAGAGGTATCCACACCCTTAATTGCTGAGCTGTGACTCGCCATGATGCACGTGCAGTAATTTGTGTATTACTGCAGTAGTTCAGCTGTGAAGCTGTGCCCTTCACTTTTGTTCCTGTTGTCCTAAAAGAAACCTACGTTTCCCTGGAGTCCCTTTGGCACTTTTACGAATGTGTTCCTGGCTTCCTCCATATAACTCATCATCTGTCCTACCCTTGCCTTCCCCCTGCCCCTGTGTCCTGTCCTCTCTGGGTTATACTGTGTTTGGCTTGTAGGCTGCTCCCTACAGGGTCATTTCCTACTGCTGCTGTGCTCTGATTGCCCGCAGTGCTGAGCAGCACGCAATCCAGCTATAATAAAAGCTGGGCTTTCCCAACAGCGTTAGAATCTGGCCACTTTGTTAGGTGGGATTTGCAGCTTGAGGTTTTCTGTTTCCTGTTCTGGTGATGGTCCAGGCTTTTGAGTCCTGTGACAGTAAGCAGAAGGTATTCCTTTCAGCCCCATTAAACCCCTTCTGGGTACAGCAGCTTACAGGCAGATAGCTGGAGAGATGTCTCAAGAAATCAGTGTTTGAACCGACTGACATTCTCCTCTGAGTCTGCTCCTGCTGGTGGACCTAGCTCTAGGTCAGATAGCTCCCAGCAGCAGGTTTCCTTCATGCTGTATGAGAGTAACCGTAGGAGGATACTAATTCCCTCCATGGGATAGTCTGGGAGCTCTCTTGGACCATTTCACACGGTGAAAGCATGGCCTTTGCACGGGAGCCAGGACACGCTGGGAGCACTGATCTGCGAGGCAGAGTTTGGAGCTCCAGCCTCAGTGTTCCCAGGGCAGCTGCTTCTTCTGCTCTCGCTCCACTCCGCTGATTAGCTGCAGAGAATGCAAGCTTCAAACCGTCGACTCTGGTAGAGGAGGAGCAGATTTCAGCTGTTTAGGTTTGTAATATGTGGAATTTTAGTGTTTGAGCAAATGCATATGTAAATAGGTAAATGGCTGGGCTTGTGTCTCACCATGCCCACGTAAGGACCAGATCCTGCGTTACTATGGGAGAGATACTGTAAGGTAAGAAGGAAGTGCATTTTTATTTATCCATTATTCTAAGTTAAAACACCATGTCACTGAAAGCCATTCATCTACTGGATACTCTGTTAATAGTTATAATTACTGATAACGAACCAGAGGTGGGTTAATTTCAGACTTCTACTGGGGACTTAAATTCAAGGCTGAGGTCAGGCCAGGGCTCATAGTCAACAAACAAAATCTCAGAAACAGTTTTTTTAATTATTCTTTTTTTACTAGAAATAACAGAAATACCCAAAGAGTAGGATTAATCAATTAGACATTGCATACGGTCCACAGCTTTTATGGCTCTTTTGCAGTTAGATTCAAAATATCACAGACAAACAAGTCATGTGAGAGTTCGCTTTTTCTTTCTGGGTCTGGATCCAGTCTAAAAAGCAGAGCAAGAGCCAAGGATTCAGTTCTCCAATACTGCCCCTGCAGAGATGCACGCAAACTCAAATGAGATTTCTGGTTAAACCACCACTAATAATATTAACTACTGAATTTAAAGCAGTGTTGAGGATCTGAGAATATTTTTCCTATACGAATCATAAAGCAATTTTCAAACAATATGCAAATCTAGGAAAACTAGGGAACTTATTAGGTGTACAACATAATAATAATGATGCAGAAAATGGACTCAATGCTGAAGGTGCCTTTTCTGAAGAACAGAAATGCTTTATTGTGGTCTGTAACTATGAGCTTCACTGATTGTATCTCTGTCACAAAAATACTGGTGTAACACTTGGATATTCAGATGCCAGGCAGCCACTGTAAAATGGAAGCAGGATTCTCCCTTTATTCTCCTCATATTATGAATTTCTGATAAGGAAACTGGAAAGAAGTTGCCAGGGTAATGCAGTGACCCTGTTAAGGAAGCGTGCTTTCATCTGTGAGTCTGCCAGTGCTGAAGCGCAGTTCCCTAAGGTGCTTTTTTGTATCCATAAGCATAACTGTGTTCATATACAACTACTTCTGTTTCTCAAATGTACTCTGATCTGCCCTGTAATAACAATTCAATTGCCTATTGGTAGAGGAGGAAAATTTTCCATCTGTAAAATATCTATAATTATTCTGATTTGTTTGATATTATGCAAATATTTTCTTTTATATTTCATCCCTTATATTTCATCCATTTAAAATTGTGTTTCCCAACACATTTGATAGTTGAGTCTCTGAGCAGATGTGCTATGAGG